CGCCAGGTGAACACTACAGATTTCTAACTTCCTGTAACTGGAAGGATGAGGCAGGTACTTTCCTGTTATCGGCACTCCACGCCCACTTGCTATGCAGGATTCCCCAACGCCCTTTCTTACTAGGTTTTTTCTTTTTTTGCAGTCATTCTCTCTCTCCCACGTCTTTTTTTTTCTTCACATCAGTGTCATCAATGTATATTGTAAACACATCTTTGATTTCTGGCCACATAGAGGTTCAAATTGTGTAAAAATGAAAAACTTTTGTTAAGTTCCTGAAAGAAATCTACTGCTACTAACTATAATACTGTAATAATACATTGTCTTTCATAAAATAATCAGTTTTTGCATGTATCTTTTTTAAGTATAACTTTTTTTTAAATAAAAACACACATACTGTAATACAGATAAATGTTATATATGTTAAACTAACTTTTTTATGAACATATGTTATATCATGTGTTATCACTTGTTGTACTGTTAAACTACATGTAGCTTATCTCAAGTATCAAACACACACACACACACACACACACACACGATAAATCACTAACAAGACCCCTCCATACACACCTCTCTTGCTTTTTCACCTCACCTTGTTCCCATGGCAATGCAAAGCTCAGGTGATCTCAATATCTGAGAGCATGAAAGCCCGGACCAACCGGTCCTGCTGGCCGAGACAAAAGATTGACAACCAAATACCAGCCGATGAGGAGTCAAGAAATATCTGTTGCACACTTCATTTCTGCTCGGAAAACAGGGTGAATCATAACCCGCTGATGATGATATTCCTGTATGATTCCTTCAGGCACTTGATGTGTTTGTGGTGTAATGAGTTCATACAGACTTTTGCTCTATTGAGCCTACATGTATGCTGTGTGTGTTATATTGTATAACATGTAATGAGTGTATGTTTATATTGCTGTTATATTTCATTACCTGATTTTTAAGAGCAGCTCTTAAAGTTTATAAACAGACACAAATGTGTCTGATTTAATGGATCAATAATTTTTCTAAAACGTGTGTGTGTGTGTGTGTGTGTGTGTCCGTGATTTCACTCCAGCGCCGCTGAAACATGAAGCAGGAGAGTTTCTGCAGCAGCCGAAACTTTATCCGCAGCGCAGCGCGCTTACGTCAAACCACACGGAACTACAGAATATCAACTTCCGGTATTAGCTTTTCAAAATAATGCTGTTTACTGACCAGCCTTGTACAAAACACTAAAGTGAGTAAATGAAACACCAATTTTGGACAATTCTACAGAGATAATCTCTTTTTTTATATATACAAACCGTAAAGGTTAAAACATAAAACACTAACGTTTTATAACTTGTGAACACTTGCCTTTTGAGTTGAATTGCTCTTGTATTTTTATTTGTATTATTATCTATATTTGAAAAGTATTTTGTATACTTCTAGTCCTTCTTCTTCTTCTTTTTTTGAAGACTTTATTTATTATTTTCTTATACAACATTTGAAGAATACCATTGGCCACAAACAGTAAAGAGAGATATGAAATAAAAAAGTTGAAAATCTTTTTTGTTTGTTTTTTTAAAGACAGAACAAAAAATTTAACTGAGATAAAACAAAACAAAAATATTAAAGCAACATTTAAAAAATATATAATATATAATAATATAATATATAATATAATAATACAATTGTATAAGCACAAGTCCTTATGACATTGATGGCTGCTTGTAGCAGTATATTGTTCCTGGATACATTAATATATAATATTGGGGGACAGTAACAGAAATAACAGCTGTACGGTATGAAGGTTATATGTAAGTTATTCACACTCAAGAGATTTAAAAAAAGATAAGGAAATAAGTTAGTCAGGTCAGAGTATGGGCTCCTATATAAGGTTCGGTGTCAGACTGCTGGGAAAGAGAGAGGTTTTCCCCATACTCAATAAAGGGAAGCCAGGTTCTATTATGTCTTTTAAGTGAAGCATTCAGAGTGTATCTCAACTTCTCCCTTTGGAGGAACATCATGACTTCCCCTCTAGAAGGCCTTTTAGAATTAGTCGCCGTGCTAACAGTGAGGTGAGTGCTATAACATTTGAATGATATGAAGTGAGACTATATTGGGGCATAAAATACCACCGTATATGGGTTGGGATCTACTGTTTTGTGTCAGATATATGAGTATACTTGAGATATAGAGGTCCAGAAATTATTTAATGAGTTTATAGACAAAATGTTGTCTACATTGGGATCAAATTCATATACTATTCTGAACCACTGGATTGTTAAGATGGTTATTATATATAAGGATATGAGTAAGATTGGTAAGCTTGAATGTAGCTCCATAGTACAGTGAATCTCAACCTTTTTCCTTAAGGGACCCCCTTTCTATCATTGTAAACTGACGACCCCTGAGTAAGGGACATATTTTATGGAGTTTAAGTAAAACAAGTGATTTGGATGAATTTTGAGCAGAGATTAGTTTTCCTGATATTTATTTAGAATTATATATTTGAGTTATCCAGTTCTTCTTTAATTAGCGATGATCTTTCTCCTGCAGGTGTGTTTCTTGTAGCTAGATAATATCTGGTTTAAAGGTTTAAAAATGTGTGAATACTCTATTGCACTTAACTGTATTATTGAGTCCAAGTAATGAAAGCAGTGGAGGAGGTTCTAGTGTAACAGGTTAAGTTCTTAGGAAAGATCATGACCAGTCAGTTGGTAGAAGTAACCACACATGTAAAATGAGTGAAAAGTAACAAAACAACAAAACAACAAACAGTAAAAATGAAACAACAACAAACAAAAACAAACGCTGATATTGCTCCACCATTCTAGTTGAACGTATCAGTGGAAGAAAACAACAGCAACAGGAAAAAGAAAAAGACTGTCCCTGGTGCGACGTAAAAGCATATTCAACCGTCTGTACTGTATATTGTTTAGAGTATTCTTCCCTATTCTTTCTTATTTGGCCCAATAGTTTTTCTCTAAGTTAAAAACAAATCCTAGACAGTCTCGGAAAAAAGGAAAGAAACGTCCCTATTCTGGGTCTCTTGGAAACTATACTGTATTGCAGCATGGGGAGAAGCATTAAATTGGCCCATATATACGTCTAGTTCCTCTTCTTTGTTTGTCCTTTTTTTGCTTTTCTCTATGTATCTGTACTTATTTCTTTGGGCTGCTGGAACACCTGAATTTCCCCCTCTGGGAATCAATAAAGAATTACTTACCATACCATAATCACATAATCCATTCTGTTTTTTTATTGTTGTCTTCTTTCTTTTTTATTATATTTGTGCAAAGACATAAACACATACAACCTACAGTAAGCAAATTGTGCAGTAACAGAATAGTGATACCACATGTAAAGAAATAAATCAATAAAATCATCAATTAGCTTTACCTTTTGCCCTTTTTGAGGGCAACTCTTTGTCAATAACCTAAAAACAAACTCTAACTTCATCAAAACAGTTTCAATGATTCTTTGATGATAAAGGTTTTGAAATTTAGTCACAAAACAACATTTACACTCAGTAATCCATCATCAGGTCAGAAATAAATCCATGTGCCAAAAACTAAATAAATGTATTGCTGGGAGTTTTTAAAATCTAGTTTCATATTCTGTAGTTTTCATGTCAGTGTCAAACATAAAAGACAGGATGAATCAGGCCTTAGGTCGTATAACACAACACTCACAGACATGTGCTATTACGTCAGATTTGCTTTCAACCACAGCGGTTTTGGCAGCACGTATAGCATTACATATTCTGTCATATCTGTTCATGTCATGCATGAGCTGTAAGACTGGGGACCAGTTTATTTATTCGGGAACAATGTACTTGAGGAGTGGTCAGTATCAACAATGAATAACATACAGTGGGGCAGAAAACTGCTGCAGTCCCCGTATGGATGTGATCTTATAGCAGGTGTTTAGTCTTTATTTTTATTTTTTTATTTTTTTTTTACAGCTGATGGAAAATGTATCATTTACTCCTCTTGATTTGATCCAAGAGACTAAAACATAGCTGCGACATTTTATGTTCCTGTAACAAATAATAATGATTATAATTCACTTCTGAAACACAACAAAAATAATTTGAAATATATTTTGTCAAACTGTTTGGTGCTTTCATGCAGCTGAGGAAGAAGTATGCAGAGTCCTCTCTTAAGTAAAAGTAATAATAACACCATGTAAGAATTAAATATAAATATTTTATGAAAAGTACTTTGCAAAAGATTTGTCAAAGAGTGTACTCAGTATGCAGAAAATGGCCCCTGGGAGTTATATTATTATTATACTGGTGGATTATTATTACCAGTGCATTAATGTGTAAGCAGTATTTTAATGTTGCAGCTTGTTGAGGTCTGGGTTTTACATATTATTGGGTAGTTTATTAAATAGAATTGCATCATGTTTTACAAATTGTTCATATATTTTGTATGTATAATCCTGATCTGTTAACCATAGCTGTTGTACCGGAGTAAAAGGTGAAAGCATAAAGCAGCATAAAATGGCAATATTAGGGTAAAGTATCATGAAACTGCATATAAGAAGACTACTTGAGTAAATGTGATTAATTGGAATAATCAGAATCAACTTTATGTGTACATATACAATTAATTTGACCCTGAATGAATGAATGTAATATGGGGAAGTAGACATACAGCTAAAAACAAGGACAACAAAGCTGAACAAGGAAAGATAAACATTATGTAGCCTACATACAAGTAGAGTGGGTGAATAAAATAGATGCATATATATAAAAATACATAAAAAACAACAATAAACAACAATGTGTATACATACAGATATCAAAACAATCTCTGTAAACTGTAAACAAGAATAATAATAGTGCTGTGATGCTTTCAACTATATTCCATTTTATTAACAATTATTAAAACCCTGCAGCATTAGTAAAAGTTAGTTTCAAACATCTAAATATTTCTTTCATGCATTACATTCCAATAGCAACATGCTCTTATTGTGTAGGTCCGGCGCCGTGCCTTCCGGCGCAGCTGCGGTGCTTTGCCGCTCTCTTGCCGCAGCGCGTCGCCCTGAGCGCATTCCTGTTACACTGATTTCACCGGACCACAGAGGCTTCACATTCCTCTGTAGGCGCGGTGGTTTTTCCCGAGCTGCAGGTTGTTTTGTGTTAACTGGAAGTAAAGGGGTGTTTTAATTCGGTACCGGGAAGCTAATAACGCCGTTTGTGCGCTTTAGCGACAGTAGCTGCTAGCTGTTAGCCGCAGGTGGAGAGGGGACACGGTGGGAAATGGACCAGCAATCAGAGAGTGTACCTGCCCGTTTTCAACCCGTGTGACGGACTCAGTGGAGGTAAGAAGCTGTATTGTTTTCTGTTTGTGACTCCCCAAACTCCTCTTGAACAGACTTGTCTTGAATTGATTTGTACAAAATCACTGAACCAGGTGAATATTTACTGAGAGCAGAGCTGCTGATACACAGTGAAAGTGTGAAACACCATTTTCAAGTTCACCTCTGACCTGTTGATGTCAAAGTAAGATGTACGGGGGCACCAGGGGTGTGTTAGAGTAAATCCTAAATGGTCTAATGAGTAGAAAGCTAAAAGTTTTTATACTTTTATATATTTAATTAAGTACTATTGAAAACTTTAAACAAAACAAAAATCACACATTGGCAAAAAGATTATCTAGATATTTAAAATTGACTCCAATTGTTAAGCATACAGAGGTTTTTGCTTTGTATTTGTTGTACAATTGGTTTAGATATTATTTTATACCATTAAGTATACAGTAAATGCATTATAATGTTAATTTGTGTGGTACTTTGGCATACTCGTGAATGAATGAATAGTTAAAGTAAAAACTAATTGACATTTAATGGATACTGGGCAACTTGACAAGGAGTGTGTTGTTAGTACAGCTGATTATTCATTAACAGTTTCATTTCAGTGTTTTTTTTGGCGATGGCGGGCTGCTGGCAGTCGTGCCGCCGCACCTGTATGTGCTGTCTGTCCGAGGAGGAGAAGGTAACCATCGCTGTGGACAAACAGATCAAGAAGATCCTCAAGCAGCAGAAGAAGAAGGAGAGAAGGGAAATTAAAATCCTCCTGCTGGGTCAGTGACTGCACACAGAGCACCTCGCACACAGCGGCTTGTTTGTCCTTTAACGATACCAATATAATACTTATTAAGCAAATCTGATAAATTACCACTGGGTGATACTGAACTGACGACACCCTGCATGCTTAATGAGAAAAAAACTGCTTGGCCTGTTTGGTCGCCTGCAGCCAAGAGAGAGAAAACTATGTGAAACATGTGTCACAGAGAGACTGCAAAGAATGGTCCAGATTGGGATTGGCTATAAACCTGAAAACCACAACGAGTGCAGACACAGGAACCTACAGGCCTACTTTACAGCTGGTTTGATGACTTTAGACCTGATTGGCAACACTGGTGCTTTCTGCTTTGATGTCTCAGTGGAGGCAGGTCTACCACAGCTGCCAGGCAGAGGGTATTAATGGGTGGTAAAGTTGCACATAATGCTCAAATTAGAGCTGAAACTGTTAGTTGATCAATGCGTAGTACAGCAACTGATTTGATAACTGATGTTGAAGACAGTTTACAGATTAACTGACAAACAAAACCTGCACTTTTAAGCACCTTGGTCTTTAGGGTTATTGTGCTGGTCATTGACTATTTTATGACATCTTATAGATGAAAACAGAATTAATTCATTTAGAAAATAACTGATTAAATGATAGTTGAAACCTGCAATTTAATACCTTTACATACATTTTTGAGTCTTTAATACAAAATATTTATAGATATTGTAAATTAATACAATAATATTTACATGTTAGTTTTTGGGCAATATGGACAAAAACATATTTACTAATATTTATTAGTGCAGTTTCTCAATATGGAAACAAACTGATGTTCATGTTTTTTTAGGTTATAATAAAATCCTGTTTTTCTTTTAAACAAGAACTGTGAAGTAGTAATTTAAGCTTATATTTATACCCTTAGATTAATATAGGTTTTCAACAGTACTGTGAACCAAAACATCCTGATATAAGAATTGTTCAGCTGGTTCCCGCATCGTTTTATTGCTTTATTGTGAAAGTGGGCGAACTGACCAAATCTAATGACCCCCTTCCTCCTACAACATAAAAACATATGGCTAACAGGATGAGATCAGGGTCTTGGGGTTGTACCACCGCTACTGAATAATTTCCTGGGGGAAACCCTGCAGTGAAATGGAGAGACAGTAAATAATAATATTGAATTATTGCCCAGACTTATTTCCTCTTATCGCCGTGTAGAATGACAGAAAACAAATGTTTGTGTACGGGAACAGGACTGTCAATAAAACATCTTACAACACAGTTTGGTTGGAGGATAATGGGATAATCCTCGAAAGTGTTGAGACGTTACAGGAAAGTGTAACAAGAGTTTTGGTTTCCTCTTGCAGATTTAACGATACACATCCAAACAGCACCGTGGAGCAACTGAACCACAACTTGTTCTACGTTACAGAAATATGGATAAAATAACGGTGCTAGTGTTTATTAAAATGAGGTTATCAAAGCTAATAAATCAAGTTTTCATCTCTAACCCAGGCACTTCCTTTGAAACTGATTTTAAGCTCTGAGGCTGAAAACGTCTCAGCTAAATCTATCAGATGAACATCCGGTCAATAGATTTTGTTTAATGTGATTACTTGACAACCGTGCAAGATCCCATAATGAAATGTCACAGGTGTATAGCTGACATCAAAATGAAGGCAGAGTTCTAAGCTAGATCCGGTCCAAGCAAGTGCACTGGACATAGGAGGGGTAGGAAGTAGGTAAAGACTGGGCCCATCAACCATCAATATTCACCCACTATGTCAGTATGTGTATCACTATGTGTAACACTGTTATGCAGTGTGTGACAGGCCAACACCAATCTACGTTTATGTACAAGGTCACTGTTTGTGTTTGTAGTTACATTTTATATGTTGTACATTTCTTGTATCAAACCAGGGAAAACACACACACACACA